ACTGACGTAACCGCTTTTGTGTTCTTGAGACAGGCTCTCACTCTATGAGCCGAGGAGGGCTAGACAGTTCTGTCTCAGCCTCCCCAGTGCTGGGGTTACAGGGGTGTGCTGCCCTGCCCAGCTCTTAGGTGATGTGGAAGAGAAGAGAGAGTACCTCCTGGGGAACAGATGAGTGGTTACTGGGAGCTGGGTTAGTGGGAAGGTGCGACTACAAGCCAGGCTTGAGGGAAGTTTTGAGTTACTCCCACACTTGTGCTAAAACTCACAGAAACTACACTCTGGTTTAGAGCTCCCTTTAACTTTATGGTGAGTCTGGTTTCTTGGGTGTTTGTTTGCTTTGCAGTATTGGTTGGGGTTTTGAACTCAAAGCTTGTTAAACAAGCTCTGCACTTGAGTCAATTCTTTTTTTTTCTTTTTCTTTTGCTGGTCCCGGGGCTTGAACTCAGGGCCTGGGCTCTGTCCTTGAGCCTGAGCCTCTCTGTGCTCAAAAGCTAGCGTTCTACCACTTGAGCCACAGCACCACTTCCAGCTTTTTCTGTTTATGAGGTACTGAGGAATTGAACCCAGGGCTTTGTGTGTGCTAGGCAAGCACGCCACCACTGAGCCACATTCCCAGCCCCGCTTGCTTTTCTCTTTTGCAGATGTAATTGCATGTTTTTGTGCAGGACTTGGCTTTGGGTGACAGTCCACCAACCTCTGCCTCCCAACAAGCTAGGATTACAGGCAAACTTCCTTTTTGAGATAGGCTCTCACTATTTTTTTCTGGACTGGCCTCCAACCAATATCCTCCTCTCTCTGCCTCCCAGGTAACTGGGATTACGTGTGCACCACCATGATGTGTGGCCCCTTACTTTTATAATGGCTTAAATGACACACATTCCAAGATATCATTAAAAGAAACACATTTAAGAAAAAATAACAACCAAAAACGAAATCCCTCTTAAAGGCACGGGAACAAAGAGGAAGAAAGTCAGAATCCAGTAGACTTGAACCGCTGTTCCAAATGTGAGCGGTGCATGAGGCAGGCATGCGTGGTGCGGTGTATTGGAGATGACATCTTCCTCAGTGTCCCTGCACCCATGTGCTTTGAGGAGTCCACCAGACAGACTGCCCCTGGTCTTTTTTTTTTTTGGTCCTGGGGCCTGAACTCTGGGCCTGGGCACTGTCCCTCAGCTCTTCAGCTCAAGGCTAGCGCTCTACCACTTGAGCCACAGCGCCACTTCCAGCTTT